TATTGACCCATGTGGGCATATTTTTGAAAGACTTGTTTGCCGCTCATTTTAAAGCTCGTGAAATTCTCTATCGACTGGTATATGTATCGTCGTGGTTAGTGGACAAATGTGGAGCACAGGATCGTCATCGTTGAACAAAGAAGAGTAGAACTTTGGTTACAGTAAATTCGACCTAGTTTTTTCTGAGAGCAACTCTAAGGTCTGTCGGGTGGCTAGAAATGTTCTCCTGTTCATTCTGCATTCAACCATGTATGTGTTGATGGAATTCAAGCAGGGGCTGATTCCATCAAATAATCGCTCCCGTCCTTTAAAACTTTCAGCTATCATAATAGTTGAAAAAATCAAACATAAATTGTTTGTATAATCCTGGCCAGTACACGAATCGTATTTTTAAATTCTAAATGAAATGTTTATAACTTTTGAGCGAAGTTCTTCTAGAAAATATTTTGTTCTATTTGCCTATGTAATATCCATTTCAAAATATAAGAGACTTCAATTCAATTCAGATAATGGGTGATAGAAAAGAGCTAAAGACACACGGCTTTTGTTCGAATGTGAAATGTTGTGCTATCGATTTATAGGGTGGTAGTTCTATTTTTATTTCCCATAAAGCGATAGCTCCAACATTTCTCGTTCGAATAAAAAAAAAAATGTGTGTCTTAAGCTCTATTCTATCACAAGTTATCTAAAAAGCTATGAATTCTCTTATATTTTGAAATGGATAGTAGTTGAAAAACTTGACAAAAATTTTAGAAAATTCATAATTCTTTGACTGTGAAATATGTTTTAGAGTCGAGATGACTCACATGTAATAGAGAATATTTGACATGTCAAACTTAAATTTGAATTTCTTTAATTGTGGAGTTCAGAATGGTGAGGAAATGTTCTTGATATATCTGTTACTCCCGAGAATAGTTGATCAAGGTAGGATCGATAAATAAAAATTGTCTACAAAGTATCTCAATAGAATAATTAAATTTATCTACTTAGTCAGGTGATTTATTTGTTTATTTAGGTGTTGACGGTTTAAAACAGTTAACATTCGACCAAGCTTTACCTGAACATATTCAAAAATGGGTGAGATCTACACCACTCATACAAAAAACACCTGATATCGAACTCAAAGAAGTTATTATCGAAGAAGAATCAGTGAATGAGTCAAAAGTTATTGATCCAGAATTAGTCAAAAATTAATCAACGAATCGTTGAGAAAAGCACCAAGATCAAAGCCAAAAGAACCAACGGAAACTGAAAAGAAAAGTCAATTGACAAGTTTTCCATTAAGAAAAAATCCAAGTAATGATGACACTCAACAAAAAAAAAAGCTAAAGATGAAGATGCTGGCACAAATACACCTCACTGTTTTGATAAAATATATTTGGAGAAGAATGTTGAACAGAGATTTTCTCATTTAAATGAAAACAATGAAATATCGTCGGATAACCAACCGATACAACAGGCAGACAATACTAAACCATGTCTGACGATAACAGAACAAAATTACAGCGAAAATAAAATAATAACCACGGTCAACAGTGAACATGACCAGACCTTCAATAAGGAACAATGTAAGTTAAGATATTTTTTACTACTGTGTTAATAAGAAGGAGAACAGTTTCTCATGCATCAGTGAAGGGTGAACCTTCGTCTCGTTTTAATCTAACAGATGGCATAGAATAAAATGACGCTCTCCATATTTTTGAATAGTATTTTTTATGTTTCACGATCTAATTCTTTTCTCTTAATCTTCTTTCAAATAAATTCTCAGTCAATTCGCTACACAATCGTGCTAAACATTATCGTTATATCCAATGATGATGATAGATAGACTAAGAAGTCGATGCTACGAAATAAGAATAACTTTCTGACTAAAAAAAAATGTATTTTGTTAAAGTATTTGAGCGAATTGAGAGAATTGAGCGAAGCGATTTGAGAGAATTTTTTAAACAAAACAATTAAGTCTAGACAGTGAAAGATAAAAAAGAGTTGTGTTTAAATTGAACGAATATAAATACACACTTATTGATATTTTTTTTCTATTTCAGCAGCATCATTTGAACTAAACAAAATCCCATCACCTAAATCAAAAACTATTGCTAAAAAACACATATTATCTTCAATTCCATTAAATTTATCTTAGCCACCTATTGAATTTGAACGCATAAACGTGAATACAATAAATGAATTGAATATAACAGAAACTACTACTCCTTACTCTACTGAACATGAATTAGAAGATCAGGATATGATAACAGGTCGATTAGGTGAAAACTTTGTTTATAAATACTTATTATGGAAATATCGTGAACAGTCACCGATTATCAAAATTGAATGGTTAAATGAAAAACAAGAAACATATTTACCATATGATATTTTGATTAAGAAAGAAATTCTTCCACACTTAGTGTGACATATTTTTTTTTTGAATATGATTAACTCCAAAAGTAAGGGCAATGGATGGAAAAAAGACTCAGCCTACATGACGAACATCAGAAGTTTGCGATCAAAATCGGAAACAAACAGTAGCGTG